TCATTGTTGTTTGGCGTAACACTGTCCCGCTTAGACACTAAAAGGCATAACATAATAATTAGAACAATTTGTGAGCGACACCATCGTATAAAATATTTTTTTAAAAAAAAACTCACTTATTTTTAAATAATGGAATTATCAAAATCCGACCGCCTCAAATAACGGGTTACGCTTGAATTTCTCAATTGGCCGAAGATCGGAGCACGAAGATGAATCAGTGACACGTGTGTGTACACCACAAACCTTCCTATATCTTTTTATATGAAAATAACGTGATTCCAATTATGTCAAATCAATTGTGGTTGCGACATTGGTTCGGCGTATTATTACTTCACTTTTTTTTTTTTTTAATGGAAAACTAAGGAAAAACAAATATTTGATTGGCTAGTAAACAAAAAGTTGGTTTCTTTTTGTTTTTTCTATTTTAATTCAACGAGTTTCCTTATTAAAAAAAAAAGGAAAAGAATAATTTTGTTATTGAAAAAAGAAAAAAAATTCAGAAATTATAGTCAATGACATGTGTCGAGTAATTAAGAAAGTTATAATTTCAGATTGACGGTATTACTAATGGATGGAATATATTAAGCAAATTGGTGACCCACATAGAGTCAATCAACTCTTAGATAACTTTTATGGTGCAAAAAAACTATATGAATCATTAATTAATTCCTTAGTTTGAAAGTTTCCTTGGCTAATCATTAATATAATTAATTGCACAATGACCCTATGACAAATTTTGTAATACTAAAAAAAAATTAATGACATGTACAATATTTATTTCATAAACTCACTTAAAAAAAGATTAATATAAAATATAAAATAGAGAAAATTAAAACGAAAATTAAACGAACGTAAATATTTATTTATCATTTTGAATGAATTAGAATATAATTTTATATATCTATCTTTTTTTAAAAAAATAAATTTATAAAATAAATTACAATATATATCATTAATTATGTTTTTAGTATTATAAAATTTATAGCTTCAAGCCTTCCATTGTAGCATCATCACATTCACAATTTCTTCCATGCCTCTCTCGCACTCCCCCTCTCATAATTACTTTCTTTCTGTTCGTGTCTTTCATTCATGTTCTTGACGTGGAGATGGATACGTGGGGCTGCAAAGAAGATTTTCTCAAGATTATTATGATTGATGTCCAAATCTGGTGGTTAGAGACAAATAATAATTAGAAAGTTTGAAGATAATAAAATTATTGGTGGATTTCTTGAAAGAAGTATATGGTACAGCAATCCCATCATCTTGTTATATTCTTTTTCAATTTTTTTTTTTGTTCATAGAAAATTTCACTTCTGTGCGCCCTTAAATGACATAAAGCTCTTAATATTTTTATTAATAAAGAATAAATAATTTTATTTTAGAATATTGAATTTGATTCATCATGTAAGATATTTTTTCTTAGTTTTATTTTTTATATTAATGAAAATTCTTTCTTAAAAGAAAAAAATCCAAACTCACATTAGATTACATGACCAGTAACATTTTGGTGACAATCACCAAAACCAGGAGTAAATTATAAATTAGTCATTCTCAATTCGTTATTTTAAAAAAAACTAATTATTTTATCTTTTAACCAATGTTAATGATGTTTGGTATAATATTATTTTATTTTAAAAAATATCTTCTTTTCTCTCATTTTTCCATGATATCTACTTATTTTTCTTTTTTCTATTTTTTAAAATAAAATAAAATTAAAAATTGAGAAAAAAATAGTTAGTTTTTACCAAAAGTGAATTAAATGTAAAATTTACTCCCAAAACCACTTATGGAGACTTCAAATATAATAAACTAGTTTTTTTTACCCTCACTACGCTACAGAGTTAGACATAACAAATAAAATTATTTTTAAAAAAATATTTCATGTCAATGGCTCGTGTTATATTGTGCGTTTATTAAAATATATCAAATCAAAACTTAATAAAAATGCATTCATTTTTATAATTTTTTAATCCAAATTTTATATTTGACTGATTATTTTTTATATTTTTCATAAAATTTTGATTAAAAAACATTATTTGTTTACCTTATCTACACTATTAACTAAAAAAAAATTTTCTCCCTCCTTTTCTCTCTCCTCTTAGGACGTAGAGATGAGAATGAAACAAAAAAATTTGAAGACCAAAAAAAATATTTAAAAAAAAGGACCGGAGTGACATGAATAACCACCAATTCCTTTTAAGATTCTAATCCTTTTTATTTTCCTCCAAGATCTAATGTTTCATTGTTTGAATCGAAATTCAACCCGAGTCAAAACCTTGTTGCCATGCAAGACTCTTGACAATCTTGCCAAAGTTTAACCGAGAAGATGGGCCATTTTTTTTTTTTTTCCAAATATTTGCGAGCTTGGAGTGATGAAGTTTTGTTCGGACAACAACAATGAGGATTGTTGATTCCAACCTAACGAAGAAAAGGTCTAATTGGAATGACATTAGTGCATGTGCAAAACAACGTGCAAACAGAATCCCTAATCTATTATATCAATTCATTTCTTAATGATTCATACACTTCCTCGGTAACCAAACGAAATCTTAAAATCGAAGCAAATCACATTAAATGAAAATCAATTTAGACATCCAAGTTAATAAAACAAGAGTTATGCGTTCATTCATTCAAAATAAGTAACAAAAGCCATTCATTCAAAACTAAATTGCAAGAAAACCCTAAATCAAATTTCTTAACCACCAAGGCCAAACAAAAGTGTAGCCTTACCTCTTCAAAGCATAGATGACATCCATAACAGTCATTGCCGTTCACCATTGGTTTTTTTCTTTTCCTTTGCTTGACATTTTTTTCCTTTTCTTTTCTCATATTTTATTTTCCCTCAATTTCTTCATAAGACAGAGTAAAAGGATAGTTTTTGGCTATTTGACCGAATGAGCTCGACTAGGTTCGAAATCACGAAGATCAAAATCGATGAGCTAAAGAATGGCATCGATGATGAATTTAGATGGAGCAAAATCGATTGTAGGTCTTTCAATTGAAAGAGAGATGGTTTTGAGAGGTTGAAATCAAAGAAGATGATATTTTGGTTATGAAGGAGGAGGAGGGGTCGTTGTTCTAAATGCAAAGAAGGAGGAGGGGGAGATAAGTGAGGGACATGAAGATTTAGAAAACTTAAGGTTTTGATAAAAGGAGAAGAAAAAGAAGAAGCAAAGTTTTATGTTTAGAAAGAGATTTTGAGAAAAGAGAATTAGAGTTTCTAATACTTTTTATGGACTCTAGGATAATAAGATGGAGATAAATTTGTCTTTTCAATTTAATTCTTCTTTTTTTAAAAAAAAATTTGGACTTAGACTCGTTATTTAAGACCCACTAGGTCATATGTCCGTGCTTGATTGAATGCCGTTGGTTTTAACTTGTTATGTAAGATAGACATTTAACGACATTATAATTGAGGGTCTTAATCAATAAATTTATAAGAATAGAAGATGAAAAATCGTAAAGGGTCTCAATAAAAAAATTAGAACTATACAGAGACCAAACATTAAGTGAACCCATTTTATATTCTACCAATACCTACTAATTATTTTTTGTATAAAAAGAAGAAGCAAAGATTTAACTCGTACAAACTTTATAACATAGGGAACAAAATGTTTTTTACAAAAAAATTGACCTATACATAAAAAACCAAATTTTAAAAAAAATTTAAGGACTAAAATAACTATATTTAACGCTATCGAAACTAAAATAAATTATTTTGACAAATTATTTTTAACGGATGCTAAATAAACGGATAAATCATACATGAGTTTAATGAATAATTTTATGAAAACATCGAGAACCAAAAAACCAATGCATAAGGACCAATTTGTAAAAAAATAAGGACCAAAATAACATTATTAAAAGTTATAGGGACGAAAATAAAATATTTTGATAAATTATTTTTAACGGTTACTAAATGAATGGATAATCCATATACGAGTTTAAAGAATATTTTTTAATAGATATTTATATAAATTTTTTAATAGATCGAATAAATAATTAAATTAATGTCATTCTGTATTTAGTCGTGGAAAACCAAAGTTGACCAATGGAGAAAGAGATGACATGAGTTTCCATTTCCTTTCTTTATTTTACAAATATTTACAGTTTGGTGTCATGAGATTCTATTTGTTTAAATTTCAGAAATTCTTATGCTGCTCAAAAAGTTCATTTTTAGAAAAAAGAAGACTTCAAGCCACCCTTTGAACACCAAGTCATTTCTTGCAAGCCATACGTCCAAATTGTTGCCGTAATCGGTATCTTCCAAACTTCCATTTGAAATTCTCATCAACGAGAGAACATTTCATCTCTTCCGATCTTTATTTCAAAAATATCTTTTTTTTCTCATTAATTTTTAATATCTTTTACTTTTTTCTATTTTTTAAAAACAAGAAAAAAAATTTAAAAATGGATGAAAAGATAATGCATAAAAAAAAAACAATGCGAGAACAAGAAAATACTACAAAGACATATTGTAATACTTGAGAAGAGAGAAAACGATTGAAAATTAATAAAATGAGAAGAAAAAGCTTAATTATTGACAAAATTAAAATATAAATATTAAATAATTAGTTTTTTTTATAAAAAAAATTAGTTAATTTATTTCTTCAAATAAGAGGGATTAATTTATAATTTTCTCAATACGAGGGAGGGTGAGAGAGAGATAATATATATGTGTGTGTACCTCTTCTGGTTGCATTAATTACATGACGTGGGATGCGAGAAGTTGATGTTAGAACAGCTCACTCTACTTTAGACTTTAGTGCTCTACCATTTGTCTTCTCTTAACTACAACGTTAAGGCCTTAGCCTTAGCAATAATCATCCATCTCTCTCTCTCTTTCTCTCTGATTTGCTTTTACTCTAAAGTTTGCTACTTTCCTTTCTTTTCTTAATGCCATTCTACGCTAAAGTTTATTTGCTGCTTTCTTTCTTTGTTTTCTAACTTCCATTTTGCAAATCCTTGCAACTCTTCGTAAATTTACAAGGTTCCATTCAATGGCAATGGGGTCGTCGAGCTCTGTTTCACGACCCAATCCCGCCGAGGCCGACCCACAGCTACAAAGACAAAAAAGAGCTAAAGCTGACGACAATATTGATCCATTTGTGCCAAGAACTGATCACAATCCTAGGGAGCTGAGATCTTGGGCTAAGAGAACTGGTTTCGTCTCTACTTTCTCTGCTGAAACCACCGCCGCAAGCAGTAATGACACCGCCACACCAACTCCTGCCTCTGACTTGGATAAAGCTGTTAACAACAACAACAACAACCGTCACACAAATGGTGGGTTGTCTCCCAAAATCGAGATCGACCCGGTTCTCGGGCGGACCAGGCAGCCCAACAGAGGCCTCGAAATTGAACCTGATTCTAGGCCAGGAAATAATGATAGGAGTTTGGGGTTAAGAGATGAAAGCTCTAAGACAAGGATAGCTGGGAATGATGTTTTGGGAGCTAATCCTAATCCTAATAAAGATGACGAAGTTGGGTTAAATGCAACTGGAAATGAGCCAAAGAAAGAAGAAGTAAATTTTTATGACCATGTTGGCATTGAAGTGTATCCAGGTGGGGAGGAACTAAATGCCAGTGGAGGTTGGCACAGACAAAGTGAAATGAGATATGGGTTAAGAGACAATCCGGGTTTTGGTAATTACTCTTTTCATCATTCTCTTTTACTTTTACTTTTCATTTCATTAGTTTCTGTATGCTGAAATGATCTTTATCTAATTAGTAATGTTTTAGGGGTGAAGATTGATAGTAAAAATAGTAATAACAGGTTTTTATACTTAATAATTTAAAAATTGTTTCAAAATTTGTTAGCAAATGAATGGAGAGTAGTTGTTCTTGATTATTTAGGTATTTCTATTGTTGACTCTGAAGTTGTTAGTAGTGAACATTCGTTCTTGTTGTGTACTGTTAGGTGCTATTGGCCTTCTCAACCCTAAAAACTAGCTCAGGCTTTCTCTCACACTTATAACCAACCACTCAGCTCCTTTCACAACCGATGTGGGATAATCTAACAATCTCCCTCTTCACACTTCGGGCTCTAATTTGGCTATTTCTCTTCAACTTGTGCGGCACGGACACATGGGGAATTGTTTAACGTAGGCTCCAGCTACCAGTGTTTAGTGTTATTGGGCCTTCTCAATCTCAAAAACTAGCTCAAGGAGTGAGGCTTTCCCTCGTACTTATAACCAAACACCCAGCTCCTTCCACAACGGATGTTAGATAACCTAACATGTACCTGAAATTTAACTAAATCTTGAACCTGAAATTATAAAAGCTATAAAATGCTGCGAAGCCAAATAACATTTTGCACGATTATATGACTCTTGAACCTTGAAGTCAAAGCCGACGCCTTTCATTCTCATTATCCTTCTGGAACTCATTTTTCCTTGCCTTCTAATCCTTACCAATTTTTTCTTAACTGCAGTGCTGCTTATGTATTATGGTCTGGAGCATTATTTATCATTGGCAGGCTCCCTGATTTTCATCCCCTTGATCATCGTACCAGCCATGGGTGGAACAGATGTAAGTGTTGTTTCTCATGGATACAGTTATGTTTTCTACAATCCAAGACTGGAGTTGGCATAACTTTGTTATTGACATATCTTCTTTTACGTAAATGATGCAGAGGGATACTGCTACCGTGATTTCTACGATGCTGTTGATCTCTGGCATTACAACTATACTGCACTCCTACTTTGGCACCCGACTTCCATTAGTTCAAGGCAGTTCATTTGTATATTTAGCACCAGCATTAGTTATAATGAATGCTCGGGACTATCGGAATCTGACAGAACATGTAGGGTTATTATGAGGAAAGTATATTTGTAAAATATCTAGTAGGCTTGTCTAGCTTTGTCATGAATTTTGAAATTCTAAATTCCTGGTAAACGTTTTGCATTCTTAGAATTGGCTACTATATCCACAAACTTTTGGGAACCGAAACCTCCACCATGAACTATAAACTTCAGACTGAATGAGATATGTGACAGAAGAATGGACAATTCTTTCTGTATCTTTTCATACTTAAAATTGGGGACATTTACAATCCATGACTGGTTTGTTATTGTGTTTTCCTTTTATGTATGGATAATTCTTTCTGTATCTTTTCATATTTAAAATCAGGGACATTCGCAATCCATGACTGGTTTGTTATTGTGTTTTATTTATATTGAACTGCTGTAAGTTCTGTTTTGATCCATATTTGCTTAAATGCAGAAATTTAGGCACATAATGAGGGAACTACAAGGGGCTATAATTGTTGGTTCACTATTCCAAAGCGTCTTGGGATTCACTGGTTTCATGTCACTTCTTCTAAGGTGAATGACAGTCTTTTCTTGCTATGCCCTATTATTCCAAGGCCCTTGTTCAAAGAATTTGACTATTATCCTATTATACAATACATGTGTTGGATGCATCACACCTATGCTTTCCGGCCTTGGTGCTAGATGAATAGTTATTTTTTTTTGGATTTGAGTGTTTAGTTTTAGAACAGAATCGGGAAAATTTACTGCCTAATTTTGTTCTTTTATCTTAAATGGACACAACTTTGATAAGAAGAAGATCTATATATTCATCATTAACAGTATGCTATATTTGCTCTATTATTAATTCCTTCAATATTTCTAGTGAAGCTCAATAACTCATTACCAAAGCTACAATTATTGGGTTTGCCCACAAGCTGTTGAATTTTAACAATCTGCTGCTAATGCCGTCTTACTTGCTAATGTTGTGTTGCAGATTGATTAATCCAGTTGTGGTTGCACCAACTGTTGCTGCAGTAGGTTTAGCATTTTTTAGCTATGGTTTTCCACAAGCTGGAAGCTGTGTGGAAATTAGCATTCCTTTGATACTACTGGTTCTTATATTTACCCTAGTGAGTGATATCCCTTGCAGATTAAGCAGTCTTTGTATAGTCTTTTACCAGGCATGCTTGTGAATTCATTAATTCTATTTCCAGTATAAAAAAATGGCTCTAATTCCTATGATCTTTTGTTACTGCATTTCGTTAATTGTTTGTATGTGTCTTACCTTTCTTTCAGTACCTTCGAGGAATATCTATCTTTGGTCATCGCTTATTCCGAATTTATGCCGTAAGTTTTTTAACTCTCTTCATTGCCTTTTTTCTCGGGATATAGGAAATTTTACCTCTGTATTTTGAATGATTTTCTCCCTAAAGAAAATTGATGTTTACTCTTCTCGGTTGTAGCAATTCGATCCTCATCGTTCAATTTAATAACTTATTGCCTATTTCTAACATTTTGGCACATCAAAAGAAATCAAACAAGAAGCTCTTATAACTTTTTGCACAATACATAATCTCCATCACGTTTCTTAAGTGTCATTTTCCAACTCAATCTTGTTCTTCATACTTTAAATAGAGATACTGAATGAGAGAGTTTTTTCATTTAAATTCAAGTTATGAGAAAGGATATTTTGAATGCTGATTAAGAATTACCAATAGGCCTTTGGCCTTGTGACAGTGAACTCGTTGCACTTGCAAAGAGATTACAGGGTCAAATCTTTCATCTGGAGTATGTGAACTTAAAAAATCTCATTACAAGAGGAAGCTAGAGTAGCTCCTTACTAATATGACTTACTTGCCATGCTAACTCCTTGACATGGTTATATAATTAAGAGAAAGATTAAGCATCAAGATTCTTACCATATTTATTGCATCCAAAGCAAATCAAATAGCTAAAAATTTGTCAACTTTTTAGTGAGAGAGAAAAAGGTAATTTATCTAAATTGTAAAAATATCAATTCTTTTGCTAATATCTTTTACCAATTTCAAGTTGATGGAACACACACATTGTTAACAATTTGGGGTTTTCTTGTTTACATGGCATGTTGGTCTCTCCCTCCAATAAAATATTGATGTTTTAAGAATATTTCTTAAGACAAATAAATTTTTATATATCCCATGTGCTATGTTGGCAATATTTATACAAATATTGTGTTACCAGTTATGAAGCTATTTATGTAACAATATACTAATTCCCTCTTTAGTAAGTAGATGCATAGGATGGATGGAAATAACAAGGACAAAATTGGTAGGGCTGTAAATGGATCGTATCTTGATCCAAATTCAACCCAAATCCGATGTAATGAAATGGATTTGGCAAATAAATTTTTTTTTATCCGAGTCCGATTATGATCTAAATGTGTTAATCCATTCATAAAATGGATCAAATCCGGATCTACCTTGATCCGATCCGATAATAATCCAACTCGAAATTAAAAATAATATTTTTGTAATAAATATAATATTTTTTTTAAGATAGTAAAAATTTAAATATGAAAAAAAATATGAATATGAAACTAGGTAGAAATTTAGAGTTCATTTATTATAAAGTTCAAAGAACACATATCCTTCAATAGCGGTGACTATATTTTCAAAAATCACAAATAAATTTCTTGTAATTTTCTTAATTCAATTTTGTGAAAAAAATTATATATTGACTTATATACATTTTCAAGACTCGGCATTATTATATTTGTCATTACTCTATTTTTGCTGCAACATGGACAAGAAATAAAAATTATTTATTAATTATTTTTTTAGTTTTATTATACTTTCTATCTAGTGCAAGATAAATTTTTATTAAGATTATTTGATTTTGTATTTTTGAATTGTGTGAGGTTTTGAATTTTTACAAAATCGATAAATGAAATATCGTATTAATATATTTTATTATATATGTAGTGATCGAAAAATATTTTATGTTTGAGCAATATATGAAATATAGTAATCATAAATTTTTTATAAAAATCAAGTAATAAATCCAATGGAGTTCAAAATTCGATCTGAGTCTGTTAGGATCCCGTTCCAATTTCATATTTTTAAAACTTGATCCAAATTTATAAGATGCGATCCAATATGTTTTACTAAACAAATCAAATCTGGATTTACTATGATTTGATCCGAGTCTGATATGTTGATAGTCCTAGTCTTGGGTCTTAAAGCAACGATAAGATTTGAAACAAAGACAAACTCCATTACAACCCCTTTTTCATCAAAGCTAAGCCCATGGGTAGAGCCATGGTAAATGCGGTTACTGCTAATTACTTCATTAAAATTGCTCATATTTATTTTTCAGTGCAGGTCCCCTTGAGCGTCATTATCATATGGACATATGCATTCTTCTTAACAGCTGGTGGAGCGTACAATTACAAAGGTTGCAGCTTTGATATACCTACTTCAAACATCTTAGTGGATGCATGTAGAAAGCATGCATATACGATGCAGCGTTGCAGGACTGATGTCTCCAATGCGTGGAGAACTGCTGCTTGGGTCAGAATACCATACCCGTTGCAGTGGGGTGTCCCCATCTTCCATTTTAGGACTTCCCTGATCATGATAATAGTGTCACTAGTCGCATCCGTGGATTCGGTTAGTAAATACAAATGCACAAACTGTTTTTTGTATTTGTAAAGATTTGAGTTCTTGTGCAGCAAGCTTTGCATTCTAGATATGTTTTGTTAGCCAGTAAGTAATCAGGCACATGAAGCACAGAACACGAGATCATAGTATAGCAGGGTGCTTTTCCATCTTAATGGAATGAATAAATTATGAAAGTATGAAAGGCATGTGACCACAGTTACTATAGAAAGGTTTAAAGGAGAATATAGAGGGAAATTTGATTTTTTGGTTTTAAGGATATTTTGACTTATAAAAGAGAACTGACCAAAGAACTGTGACTGTGTCAATGGTTTACCAGGTAGGAACTTATCACTCTACATCTTTGCTAGTTAATTCAAGGCCTCCAACTCCAGGGATTGTCAGCAGAGGAATTGCGTTAGAGGGCTTCTGCAGTCTGTTGGCTGGACTTTGGGGTTCTGGCACTGGTTCAACAACATTAACAGAAAATGTTCATACTGTCAATATAACAAAGGTGGCCAGTCGAAGGGCTGTGGAGATTGGAGCAGTTTTCTTGATCCTCTTCTCTTTTGTAGGTAAACATCACGAACTTGTGAAAGACAAAACTTCATGATTGAGAGTGAAATCATGCATGGTCTTTTGCTAATTAGCTGATGCATGCTCAAAAGTGCAACCACAAGCAAGGTCTGGGAAATCTACTGTGCAGCTCTGGCACCTAATTATTTAATTAGTATGTACACTAGACATATGGAATTAGGCTTTCAAATAGAAAGTTTTTTTGAGAAAGGGCTTCCAGCAGAAATTACAATAAAAAAGAAAGAATGTACATGAAATCCATGAGTTCATTAGTGTCAAAATGTGGGTGTTCTCTTGCTAACATGTTTACCTCTCATTGATAGGAAAAGTGGGTGCCATTCTTGCATCAATACCCCAGGCCTTGGCTGCTTCAATACTTTGCTTCATGTGGGGCCTTATTGTGGCACTAGGTCTCTCAACTTTGCAGTACAGCCAAACAGCAAGCTTTAGGAACATAACAATAGTAGGTGTTTCACTGTTCCTTGGTTTATCAATTCCTGCCTACTTTCAGCAGTACGAACCTGAATCCAGCTTGATACTGCCAAGTTATTTTGTTCCATATGGGGCAGCATCAAATGGACCAGTCCGCACCAGCAGTAAACAAGTATTTTTCTTGGCCAATTCTATATATAGGAGCATTTATCTGTTGTTGGCTCATGCAATTCCTCTCCTTTTTTTACTTCTAATACTGAATAGTTGATCTTCCATTTTCTATATTTCAGTTTGATTTCGCAATAAACGCTCTCATGTCCTTGAACATGGTTGTGACACTGTTGGTTGCATTTGTGCTTGACAACACCGTCCCAGGTAGCCGGCAAGAAAGAGGAGTATATATATGGTCGCATGCTGAAGACATGGCAACTGACCCATCTTTGCATGCAGATTATTCCCTGCCAAGTAAAGTTTCGAGATTTTTCTGTTGGGCAAGATGTTTGCGTGGATGATAATAGTTTTGTTGCATAATGTGAGCAGTTGTAAGGATCCTAAGTTGAATTGCCTTCCTATTAACTGGGGGCTTAGAGAGTGTTTATGATGAGTGTTTCACATGAATTAAAGGATGGTAGTGCATGATCTTCATTGAACAAAATCGAGAGTGAATGCGTTACTGAATTAGTAATACTATTGTAATTGAAAGAAACTTGGTTGAATTCACATTATGCCAATAGACAACTTTTTTGGGTAGAAGGGTTTCTTCGGGCTTTTTTGTATGTGTTGTTTGCTTCATTACAGTAGTAATCGCCCATGGCTAGAGTTCACGAGAATACATGACTACGAGTGAATTAGTAACACTCTGTAAGTAGCTTGCTAAGCTTTCACCATCTTTTTCAAGTCATGTGCTGGATTTGGTCGAGGTTTGAATATTTGATTAGTGACCGATAAGGCACGAACTTTTTCCATATCAAGCTCTAGTTGAGCTCAATTCAAGCCTAGCTAGGGTCAACAAACACGAGAAATTTTATAATACTTAAATAAGTAACTCAGTGATATATACAATAGTTATTTCATTAATTCACTAGGATGAAAGAGAAAGAGATAGACAAAAAAACAAAGAGAGAAACAGGAGAGGGAGAATTAAAAAAAAAAATTGATCGAATATAGAAATCTTCTTATCACTTGAACGAGAGAGATTAAAAAAAAAAAAGAATTAAAAAAAAAATTGAATGAATATAGAAATCTTTTTATCGTTTTTGTTGAGTCCAGATATAATTTTATGTGTCTATCTCTCTTCTTTAAGCATATTAATAAAATAATTACTATATATGTCACTAGTTACTTTTTAAGTATTATAAAATTTCTCGACAAATAGCATGCACGATTACATAGTAGTGAATACAGAGTATCATCATGTCATGAAGCAGTTGACTTCCTTCTCATCCATTCTTGAATTAGGGAACGAAGGGTGTGATTTGGAGTTAAGAATTTGTGCTTGAGCATTAAGTTCGTCATCGGTGATGTATCCCGCCCCATGCTTAGCCATTCCTCAATGGCTTCCAACTCGTACGAAAATCCATCAGCTGCAATATGTGGATTTTTCATTACCTCCTGCACTCATTATCCAAGTATGATTTAGTGTGGTGCTTTCTGTATTGCAATAAAATGAGAAATAACTTTGTATGCCATTTCACAGAGAGAAGATGGAAGCTAACCCGCAGAATGGGGCAGAGGAACATGCTTGGTGCTTCGATCGAGTCTTCTCTATCGTCGATACTTCCATTAACAGCCACCTGACATCCACTTTTGGCAACTAGATCATCAGCCTTTCTTCTAATCTTTTCAAGCTCTTCCCTTGCTTTTGGCAGACTGAAATCTGTACTGCGCTCCTGGTTAATCGCAAAACACCTCAGTGCTATCCCAACAAGTTCCTGGGCTAAATCCAATGGCCATTGTCCAGCCCTCTCATCCAAAACCCTAAACAGGTCTGTCTGATCCATTGCCATCACCTCTTCGACCAACCCAGTCCAATTTCTCCCAGTCAAAAGCTGGAACAATAAAACTCCAAAAGCCTGAATACTGGGCAGCGTTTCCTTTTCATCTGAACTCTGAGTTAGTCTGAACCTACTACTGATCTTAGCAAATAGATTCCGGTCGATTAGGACCTTCGACGCAGTCAACGGAACGTGATCAATAGGCCGAGGCCGAGCTGAGTGGAGGAAGCCAAGGCCTGAACATATCTCATAGGCTACCCGGATCCTATCATTCCACCGGAAGGCTCGGTTTCTTTTAGAGGAAGAAAACAAGATGTCCCGTAAGCTTCCATAGTGCATATATTCAAAAATGAAGCATTTTGGCTCGGAGCAAAACCCTATCATGGCAACCAAATGTGGGTGTCTAATGCTGCTAAGTGCCTTCACCTGCATAATCAAAGTTACTACATTTCGGGTTAGGAAATCAATACAAGATTACTTTGTTGTGTATTGAGCTAATGACAAATCGTATGTTTAAGTGATTGTGTGATATATAGCATCACCTTAGCTAGAAAAGCTTCTTGAGGAAATCCATGATCGGAATTGAGCATTTTTATTGCAACAGTCGTGTGATTGATACGTCCACGGTATACATTTGTCCAATCTCCTCCGGATTTCAATCTCAGACTCTCCGAGAAGTTGTCTGTTGCTGACCTGATATCTTCTGCAGTGTACTCTCTGTAACCACACTTCAACTCATTCAACTTCGCTACCGCTCCTATTGCATCCTTCTCCTTACAGAACTCGATTCGACGCTGAAGAACATCTCTCTGCCTCCGTAGCTCCTCGATCTCTCTAACCATTTCTGCTCTTCCAACGACTGCCTTCTCTAACTGAACCTCCACGTGTGATCTTGCCATAGTTGATGTTTGGAGCTTGCTTGAGAGCTCTGACTGGAGCTCAGCAAGTGAGCTTAGCCTGTTCTTGCTTTCTTGAACATCACGTCTGGTTTCTTGAATTTGTTCCTTCTCAGCGTCTAAGCTTTTACTTAAATCTATTCGATTCAAGAAATCTTCTTTTATCTTAGCTTCAAGTTCCTCAACCTATATATAAAAAATTTGAATGATTTGCAATTAATGACAACCCAAAAGAAAGTCACAGAAGAAATATGAAGGAAGTCGAGAGCTTATATATATTACCCGGCTATTGCATAAACATATAGCCCATTCAGCTTTCGCACATCTTTGTGAATTGACTTTACTCTCTTCCCTCTTCTTTTGAATCATTTTCTGGGCTTCCTCTACTTTGCTTCGCATAGACGCCATTTTTGCTGCAACAGTCTGACTCAATGCTATTAATATCTTGGCATCGTTTGGAAGTACTTGGAATATCAGTGTGGATTAGGTTATAAAAAAAAACACGAAAATTCCAGAGAATTGCTTCTTAACATCCTAGGACAGGATTGGGATTGCATTTGATAATGGCTTTGGTACACTAGCATCCAAACCTTTTCAGATTAGTTAATCCATCATTATCATAGGACCTCTTAAAGTGTAACATAAAGTTAAAAGAAGATTTAGAAAGAATATATGGGTAGAGTTTAGTCAATTTGGAGTTGTTGGACGTAAGACATAATTTCCAACTAATCCATAATGCTAATTGTAATTACCTTTTTCCATTAAGAACTTAGATGATGTTGTAGAGAATTTTGTACAATATACTAGCAGACAAGCAAAAGGAGAAAGACTAGCGATAGGGTGGCAAATGAACGTGAGGTCTGAGGTAATTGTTGACAGAAAAATGAAATATGGCCACAAATTGCAGAAATATCTTGGATATTTGCTTACCATCACCATAGTAGAATCGTCATCTTCTGCCACATCTGATTCTGTTAAACTAGCCTGCAAAATTTCATTCTCTTCCTTGCAGATTTCTTCATCTAAATTCAAAGACAGCAAATGCTTGAAATAATTTTCAATCTCTGGGGCAAAATCTTCCCACTGATTTCGTGAATGCAACGAGTCCAGGGTTTTTGATGAGGCAGATAACCGATGAGAATCGTGGGAATTGTCCGTAAACATTTTTCCTAACCAACTTCTAAAGCTGGACTTTTTTGCAACCATCACTCCTTGATCATCTTCCATGGTTCCTTCTTCGTTTTCTCCTTTAAGGAACACCAGCTTTCCTCCGCAGATAATGAAGAGCTCGCAAAAATTCGGCTTGTACTGATGAATGTAGAACGATCCACTAATTGCACTCTTCGATCTCCTATACGGTGGATGTAAATTAATCAATAGAAAAAAAGGATTATAAACCAAAAAAATTATTAAGTGATATACTCCATCAGTGACAAAGAGAAGCCTTGATGAAGAAGATATGCGTACCATGATGAAGAAGACTTCATGAAGGTAATTCCCATGACTAATTTGGTTATCCTGTGTGTGAAGATCAAATCTACTATGGCTTTATAGATGGTTTCATCTGATCTCTCAACTTTCAGAATGTCAGCCTTCATCTGTTCAAAAACATGGTGGAAAATCCTTATCAAGAACCATCAAATTAAACGAAGAACCGAAAACCAAAGGAGTCAAAAACTATTGCAAAGCCAAAGAAGCTAGCAGCTTAGAGACAAACCTTTCCGCAGAAAGCAATGTACTTGGACAGCAACTTGTCTATCTTTTCTTGCTCAAACTTCCTTAGAACTTCCAGTTTCTCATCGCTCACAGAGCTGGCAGGAAGCTTCCCAACTGAAAATTCATTAAAGCTAAGTTACTTTCTGATTAAAGCCAAAAACGTATAGTATAAGATCAAACTAATAAAATCCACAGTACTTACATGGGGTGTAAACAAAATCCTTGGAAATGTCACTGCAGGTCAGATGGAGAATGACTATGGAGATTGGACTGGATTTCCATTTCCTAAGTGTCCAATCCAAAGTCTTGAATCCATCTTGTAAATCATTTCCAAGAGCAACATACACCTTCTCCACTTGACCATCCATTGATCAATTACTCAGCTTTGAGAACATCAATAATCCGAACAACTTTGACAGAAAAAAAAAAAAAAATTAAGTCTTGAGGCAAGCTAAGGGATAAAAAATGAAGAAGGAGGGTTGGATTCCCTTCAAAAAGGTTGTGAAGAGATTTTCAAAATTAACGACCTTTAGGAGGAGACTATATGTTGATTTCATACAATTATAGCATGAGTAGGACGGGTCTTGTTTGGACTTTTTTGGATGGCTTAGAGAAACAAGGCATTGCCGGGCCATCTTGAACCTTTCGTTTGGTAGGGTTGAAATTTTTTCTCCATTGGACAATATCCTTTAGATCCTTCTTACTCTTTTTTTTTTTTTTTACCCCATAAAAGAATAAAAAATAAAATTGGGAGACAGTTGTGCATGGCCCAGGAAATTAGACCCCAAATCATTATGAGATTTTTTTAATTCAATGTTTAAAATATTTTCGAATTAGTTAATTTATATGTTAAATAAGATTAAATTATTTTTTAAAAAAGAAACATTTAGTAATATTACTTAGTTGATCACTAACCGGTTTAGAACAATGTTTGAAATTAAAATTCTCAAATCTGGTATGTAGAACGAGACATGCAATGCTAGTTTAGAATCAACTAATTTTTTTACTCACGCTATATTATGGATCTACAGAGCTAACATAACATATAAAATTATTTTTAATTTTATAATTTTTTAATCAAAATTTATGTTTGATTGGTTATTCTTTATATTTTTCATAAATTTTTGATTAAAAAATATTATTTATTTATCTTTATTCATAAACTAAAAAATTTATAATAGCATAAAAAATATTAAAATTAATGGATTCTCGGTTAAAAACTTATTTTGTAAATTATTTTTTCTAAAGACTTTTTTACTATAAATTTTTTAATTAAAAAAAAGGATCAAAGTGACTAAAATGAAACAAAAAAGAAAGATCAAATTCAAATAAAAAATACTTATAAACTAAAAAGATAATATTTAAAAAAGAGAGATCAAAACGAAATTTCACATAAACTTTTATAATTAATGCCTTTAAAATGTTTGAAAACTATAAAAATTTTACTATATAATGAAAAGAATAACATATCTAAATTTTGATGAATAGTGTAAATAATATTTTGGATAATATAATTGATAGTAATTGATCGTTTTACTTTAATTTTTTTTAATTATTTTTTTAATTAAAAATGAGAGGTTAAGTGTCAATCAATAAAAGATATTTAATTTCACATAAATATCTCGTTGGTTGAAAAGACAGATAGATCTTCGAAGAATTTTGCAAAGGAAACAGTTGAATGGACTTTTCAACTTCAAAACCGCGGGGACTAACTATGTTTCTTGGATTTATTAGTATTTGGTTCAGTAAGTTATAAATTAGTCCTTTTAGTTTTGAGAAGAATTAATTAGTTGTTTTTTTAAAAAAAAACCAATTATTTAATCTTTATAGTTTTTATTTTTTTTTATAATTTAATTCTTTTTTTCTTAATTTTATTTATAAAAAAATTACGAAAGAATTGATGAGAGAAAATGATATTTCATTAGATAAATAATATTAAATTAAATATGATCAATACTAGTCAAGATATTAAATGGTTAGTTTTTTTAAAAAATTAATTAATTTTAATTTTTAAAATAAAGGGACTAATTTATAATTTACTCGTATCGGGCTCATAAAGTAACGAAGAAATACAGTGAAAATAACGAGGAAAACGGGAGCCAACTCTGCCTTTCTCCTCTGCAATCCAGCTAATATTTACAGGACCCAAATCTTGCCTCCTATTGGTTGATTAGGGCGGTGATTTTTATTTTTTTAACGTAAACTAACCAATTCAGGTGTGAATCCAAATTTTAGTCCAGGGCTATCTCCATCTAGAAGGTTTCTAATTTTTGAATTTCAACTTGACCCTCGAACGTATCCATGGACTACACAATGGTCCAAGAGAAATTATCCATTCAGTATGAAAAGATTGCTTCGATCGATAATATATAAATAAACTTTAAATTTACATCGAATTTAAATAAAAATTAACTTCACAAAAATGGGGTATTTACAGATCTAAATCATTCTTATTTTATGACAACCTATTTAATCAAATCCTTTTTATCTGTTTAAAACTCCATTGAGTTTTTTTTTATATCATTCATTTGTTTAATATCCTCCATCAGTCAACAATGTCCTTTAAAAAATAATAGTATATATAATTATCTAACATGTGTATATTGACTTCATTGACCTTGATTTGTTATTTTTTTTTTTTGTTGTTGCTACATTACATGACATATTTAATGAAAGTTTAAAGATTTTAAAAATTAAATTTAAAATTCAAATACTCAATTTTAAATAAGTTAAAGTTTCGTTTAGCCTTGTTTGATGTGTGCAACGAGCTTTTTAACCCTTTGAATCAAACCTAAAAATTTAATATTTTTTGTAAGAAATTCAACAAGTAAAATTAAAATATTCTACCACTCATCATTTTTTGACACTAAATTCTTGCTTTTTAGTTTGGATCCAAAGACTCTAAATAGTTACACATATACGATCATGGTTCCCCGTAACTAGAATTATAACAAGTAATGGGATTCACTCATGGCTAGGTCAAATTCCAATCAATAATGCAAATCCTGGAAAGGAAAAGGAATATTGTCTATCATCTCCAGTGAAATATATAAATGGGACTAATCAATGTTTTGGTTCTTACGTATGAAATTTTAGGCATCAAGATTATGTTTCTTTTTTGGTCAAAGTTAAGCATACTATCTATTTAGACTTGTGTATTCATGAGAAATTTCTTTCTAATGATGTAGAAAGAAAAGCTATTTATCGTCCGAATCAAGGCTTCGGAAGTTGAAATACCTAGTAATGAAACATAAAAAGTCTAGTCTATGAATAGGAACAAACTATTTTAAAATCTTTAAACTTTTGTTAACGAGTATATCATAATATTTGTTTATAATTGGTTGTTACAACAAATATTGGTAATTTTACAATTTTGTAAATAAATCCTATATATATATATATATATATATATATATATATATATATATATATATATTAAAAAAATTTATGTCATAATTACATAACTTTTATGTCATTCTTTACATCACCATATTCTATTTCAAAAAAGCAATCATCACAACTTTAAAAGAAATTGCTCTCATTTTACATTAATACCACTTCAAATGTTTATAAATAGACCACCCCATCTAAGTTTTCAAAAGCTCAAGGAAAGAAAGCTCTCCATCTCACAAAAGCTCTTTACAAGAATCTTTTTTTCCCTATATGTTTTGATTTTATATCATTTACATTAATATTGACCACTCATCAATTGATCCTTTATCTTCTTTTACTATTATTCATCATCTACATTCCGATCCTTTTATTTTCTATTGGTATTAGAACTAAATTTGATAACTCATAAATTGATCATTTTATTATTACGTAATCTTCAAACTTTATGAGGTTTCTAGCACTAGTGAAAATCAATTCCAAAAGGCCAATAAATTAGAATTTCTTTAAGCCATACAATAACAATTTAATAAAAATAGAAGAAACACAGATCAACCTTACTTAAATTAGAAACCCCTCAAGGTTTCCACACTATAAATGCCCTCGAAACCATATTAGAATATGAAAATGCCTTCCAAGAAGAAGCTCCCTCCTTAGAAATAATTAAACTACATTGGAAAAATACCCAAAGGCCTTATTATTTAAGAATTACTATACTAGACATTTACATCGAGCAAAAATCAAACATCCTTTCACAACACGGTTACAATGCTACTTTTGTCTATGAATGAAGTATAAATGGAATGTATTAATACAATATCTTTAGTTTTTTATAACAAATGACTATGGCTGCAAATGCTTATAAAACATAATCTTTCATTTATAACCAAACCATTGCAGATCCGCTCATAAGTAGGGTTCACTAGCCAACTCAAAGGTCGGTGGGATTACCATCTTACACCCCAACAACAACTTGAAATCTTAAAAATGAACAACTCATCATTGATGAGAATGGTGAACTCGTACAAGTCTTTGTAGCTACACTCATCTTAGCTATTTACTTACATTTCATAAGAGATACTTCTCATCTTAAAGCAAAAAAAATGATGAACTTTTATCAAACCTTATTTAGTGATTTCAAATGCTACAAAGGCACCTTCCTTACTAGAATTATATTGAGAGAAGATTCAAACCCACCATTTTGGAAAGAAAAATTCTTAATTAGTCTTCCTCATTTTTTAGGAGAAAAAAGTTAAAAACAAAATTAGGAAAAATTTTGGTGACCAAATTCCATACCATAAATTAACTTATGACAAATTTATTAGCTTCATGTAAAAAGAAGGATTAAAAATTTGTCAACATTTAAAAATAAAAAACAATTAAAATGAAAAATGCATAAAACTAAAAAGGAATTAGGATCTTTTTGTCAACATTTTGATATTTCTTCAAAACCAACCTCCTCTAGTCTACAACTTTGTACATATTGTAAAACCAAACAAAGATCACATCACAAACATCAAAGACATTCTAAAAAACACCACAAAAGGAAAAATGCCTCTACATCTACAAAAAAAATTACTTGTTACAAAAGTGGTGTAGGAAAAAGGTCATATCTTTATGTATTGCAAGATCAATAAAAGATTACATGAATTACAAATTGAGGGAAAAGTGCTCAATAAAATCAAAACCCTCCTTATTGAATCCTCTAATTTTGAAACAACAACTTCATATTTTTCTGAAAAGGATGAGCCTCTATAAATAGAAAAAATCATAACCACTTTAGATTCTAAGATGGAAACTAAAAAATAAATCAATGTCCTCATCAAAGATAAAAAATCCTTGATATTATCAACCACATCCAAGATCCACAACTCCAAAAATAATACCTCAACAAACTACAAGAAAGTTTTGAACGATCACCACCTCTACTCTTTCTTTCAAACAACACTTATGACCTAATCACAATTCTTAACAAAGC